GTTATCAGGAGGCACCAGTCCCTGGAGAAGGATATCATGCTTGGTAAAGTGGAAGGTCAGTGAAAAAGAGGAGGACCCTCAATGAGATGGCCTGACACAGTGGCTGCAACAGTGGGCTCAAGTTCAACAAGGATTGCGAGGCTGGCACAGGATGGGGAAGTGTTTCTTTGCGTTGCACACAGGATCACTATGAGTCAGTAGCTACTCGACAGCACCTAGTAACATTACTATTCCTAATGGCTACCATGGGCTCAAACATACCAACAGTTGTGAGGATGGTGCAGAACCAGACAGGGTTTCTTTCTGTTATCCACAAGGTCACCATGAGTCAGAGCCAGCTCCATGGCAACTAACAACACAACATTATTATTATGTATCTCCACATACTTCATTTGATCCGCACGACAATCCCATAATGTGGGTGGCAGAAGAAAAGTTTAAAGAATTCCTATTTTACAGCTGTGGCAAGGAAGCAAAGCCGGGCTGTGAGACAGAACTTTGAGGCAGGCTTGCTCTGCTGCGCCCTGCTCCACTCTGCACAGATCTTGCCCAGGCCCCTCCTGCCCCTCACTTAATGAAGGCAACTCTCAGACTGACTCACAGGAGGGCATAGAGATCAGCTGTCCTTGGCCAACATGTCGCCCAGCCTCCTGTGCTAACGAGACACACTCTGGTCCCACCAGATCCCAGAGCTGCAACGTCCATGCAACAGAAATTGCTAGCAGGGGCACGTTTGACTTTGCATCCACCCTGAGGAAGCGAGGATTGTTGCTCAGCTGACAAGTGGCAAATCTGGGGCTGTGGCCCTGAATTAATCCTGGGAAGTCATCTGCTTTTTGAAAACCCAGTGCTTGCACTCTTGCCCTCCAGTAAAGCCTCTGTGGGAAGCGTGCCATCGTTAGTGCCATTGGGTTGATTTTGACTCATGGCGACCTCCTGTATCACAGAATGAAACATTGTCCAGTATGCACTGTGTTGACAATCATTGGGATGTGTGAGTCCATCATTGTAGCCACTGTGTGTTCCGTGTACCTTCCAACCTTAGGGTGATCTTCCAACATGATATGGGACAATATTCTGTTCAGATCCACTGGCTAAGTTTCAGAAGTCAGTCACCCAGGTGTTCTTCCTAGTGTGACCTAATTTGGAAGTTCTGCCAAAATCTATCCACCAAGAATGACCCTGCTGGTAGTTGAAATCCCAGTGACATAGTTGCCAGCATGACAGGGACTTGCAAGCCACCACAGTACGACCTGCTGACAGGCAGGTGCTAAGCACAGTGTGGGCTTTATGAAGGTGAGCCGCGTTCAGACATTAAAACGTGGGCTCTCTTTTCTCTCCCCAGTCTTCCCACACCTGGTGAAGGAGCTGAACACAGGCCTTCATGTGACGATTCTGCTGCTCCTCCTGCTGGCGCTGGCCCTGGCCCTGGTCAGCACAGGCTTTGCCATTCTCAACATGATCCAGGTCCCATACCGTGCCGTCAACGGCCCTGGGGGCATCTGCCTGTGGAATGTTCTTGCAGGTAAGGAAAGCATCTGGGAGGAGAAATCCCATCCCTCTAAGCCCAGGCTGGGATCCAAGTCATTGGACTGAGGGTATGATGGGGTTAAAATGCCCACCAATCTTTCAGACTTCACTGTCCTGGGTCTATGACCTTCTCAATGGGCATAGATCTCCCCTTTATGAAAAGTCACAATCACAATAAAGAACCAAATTGTCAGAGTGCTTAGGATTTAGAGCAGCTAAGGGGTGTGTGGGAGCTCTGGTGGCACAGTGCCTAAGCATTTGACTGCTAACCAGAAGGCTGGTGGTCCAAACCCACCAGCCACTCCTCAGAAGGAAGGTTGGGCAATCTACTTCTGTAGTGGTACCACCTCAGAAACCCAATGGGGGTCACTGTGAGTCAGAATCAACTTGATGGCAGTGGGTTTGGTTTTTATGTTTATTTATTTGTTTGCAAGAGGTGTGTAGCTCTGGTAGCACTGTGATTAAAGCACTCGGCTGCTAACCAAAAAGGTTGGAGTTTGAACCCACCAGCCACTCTGTGGAAGAAAGATGAAGCAATCTGTTTCTGTGGAGATTTACAGCCTTGGAAACATTGTGGGGCATATCTACTCTGTCCTATGGGGTCGCTATGAGTTTTGATAAGGTGTGTGCATTCCTCTTCCTGAGCTCCTATAGTAAGTGCCACAGACGGAAGGTGAGGAGGTGGAGCTCCTGAAGTTAGAAGAACCTCCAAAGAGACGACAGAGAAGGGTGATGTGGACAAGAGGGCCAACTGCCAAAGGGCTGGTCCATGCCGCTGGGCTGAGAAGAGGGAAATGAGCACCCATTAGCTACCAAAGCTTTGATGTTGCCCCGCAGGGCAAGTTAAGGCAGCTGTGGCTCTTTGGCCCAGGGTGATTGCTCCCTCTTCTAACCTCCCCAAGCCCCTTTGCCTTCCATTTCTTGTACTGCCCATTACCGGGGACATTATAAACTGACTTTGGTGACCCCATGGGTGTCAGACTAGCATGGCACTGGTTTTCAGGGCCTGATTTTTCAGTAAAACATCTCCAGGCCTTGCTTTTCAGGTGCCTTTAGGTGGACTTGAACTGCCAGCCCTTCAAGGGGACTTCTATTTTATACTAAGAAAACCAAACCCACTGTCATCAAGTTGATTCCGACTCATAGCAACCCTCATTGGGTTTCCAAGGCAGTAAATCTTTATGGAAGTATTTGCCCAGTCTTCCTTCCATGGAGTGGCTCGTGGATTTGAACCGCCAACCTTCTGATTAGCAATCAGATGTCTTCGACACTGTGCCACCATACTACAAACCAAACTCACTGCCATCGAGTCAATTTTCAACTCATAGCGACCCCTCCTTGGGTTTCTGAGGCAGTATCTCTACAGAAGTAGATTGCCCAATCTTCCTTCCAAGGAGTGGGTGGTGGGTTTGAACTGCTAGCCTTCTGCTTAGCAGTCAAATGCCTTAGGCACTACGCCACCAGAGCTCCCAACTAGGTGCCTTTTATTGAGCATCTACTAAGCGCCTGTGATGATGGGCTCAAGCATGGCAACAATTCTGAGGATGGTGCAGGGCAGGACAGTGACAGGGCAGGACAACTAAGTGCCAGGCACAGACCTGGGGCTTTTACAGGCTTCATTTCATTTAAACCTCACAGCCCCCCTGTGGAGAGATGTAACACAACAAACTGTCGTCCAGGCCGTGTCATCCTCATCATGCTGCTGGCTCAAGGCCACTGCTGCAGCTCTCATGTTGTCCCATTTCATCGAGAGTTTCCCTTGTTTTCTCTCACCCTCTACTTACCAAATACAATGTCCTTTTCTAAGGATTAGCCTTCCCGGATGACAGGGCCAAATAAATGTGGTGGTGTTGTTTTATGCCATCGAATCAATTCCACCTCATAACAAGCCTGTATGACAGAGTAGAACTGCCCCACAGGGTTTCCAAGGCTGACATCTTTACAGAAGCAGACTGCCACACCTTTCTCCCGCACAGCAGCCAAGCTCGCTTAACCATTGCATCACTCAGGCTCCTTTCAAAGTAAACATATTGTCGTTGTTGTTGTTCTTACGTGCCATCGAGGCGGACCCGACTCATAGCGACCCTTCCTTGGGTTTCCGAGGCAGTATCACTATGAAAGTAGATTGCCCCATCTTCCTTCCAAGGAGTGGCTGGTGGGTTTGAACTGCCAGCCTTCTGCTTAGCAGTCAAGTGCCTTAGGCACTATGCTACCAGAGCTCCCAAAGTAAACTTAAGAACCTCTTAATATCAATTTTGCTAAAGAGAGAGAAATTGAAGTAAACATATCAAAATGTTGAAAGTGTTTATATCTGGCTTTTAGGATAAAAATAAATTTCTATTTTCTTCTTTATGATTTTTTCAGATGTCCAAATTGTTTTTAATAAAGATGCTCAAAAAGTATAATAACTGTAATAATTTTAACTTTAAATAATTCAAATTAAAGCAGTAGAAAATGGAAGAGACAGAGACATGTAGACCATCAGAATTGCAAGGAGCAGGTAGGGAAGCACATGACTCTGGGGATTCCTCTAGCTTTTCCCCCTCACAACTTTCCTTCCTTCCTCTCAGAGCTTCCTACTCTTCTCTTCTTATCCTTAAAGATGGAAAGAGAATAATGAGAGAGGAGAGCTGCAGTCTAGCCCTAGGTTGAAACCCTAACCTGCACAGTAAAGTGTTCTTACATCTTCCTACCTGGTCCTCACAGTCTACCAAGGTGGCATCCAAAGAGATCTAGAGACGGAACTCCAAATGTAACTCTCCTAGGAAAGATGGTCTGGGTAAGAGGTAAAATTTAGAGGTGCTGAGTTCAAAGTCAGTCTGATAGGAAGCTAATTCTCTCTCTCCCACACAGCCCAGCCTGTTACACCTCACACTGTCAGGTCAGCTGTTGCTGTTGTTGTTAGGTGCTGTCGAGTCACCTCTGACTCCTAGCAACCGTATGTACAACAGAATGAAACACTGCCCAGTCCTGTGCCAGCCTCCCAATAATTGCTGTACCTGAGCCCATCACTGTAGCCACTGTGTCAGTCCATCTCATTGAGGGCCAACCCTCCACTTTTTCGCTGACCCTCTACATTACCAAGCATGATATCCTTCTCCAGGGACTAGTCCCTTCTGACAACATGACCAAGTAGGTGAGACGAAGTCTGGCCATTCTAGCTTCCAAGGAACATTCCAGCTGCACTTCCTCCAGGACATATTTGTTAGTTCTTTGGGCAGTCCATGGTACTGCCATGGTCAGGTCAGCTGCTGCTTTTGGAAGCAAATTAAAATTTGTATTGCCCTGAGAATTTGGGGGGGAAGTCTCTGGGTGTGCAGTTAATGCCCTGGGCTGCTAACCAAAACTTTGGGGCTTCAAATCCACCCAGAGACACCTCAGAAGAAAACTTGTCAGTCTACTTCCAAACAATCAGCCACTGAAAACCTTACAGTCCACCTGGAACATTGTGCTCATCTAAGAACTGTCCACATGGGATCAAATTGACAGCAGCAACGTGAACATTTAGATAGAAAGCTTAGGAGGCAGTGAGTTTATGCTAATTGGAGAGGAACCGTTTGGGAAAGGAGGGAGAGAATGGCTGCACAATTAGAAGAATGTGTCCGGTGTCACTGGATTGTCCGTGGAGAGCTTGTTGCACGTGCATTTGTTCTGCTGTTACAGGCTTACCGCAGGGATACTGCAGGTTCAGTTCCAGACCACTGCAATCAAGTGCATATCGCAATAAAGCCAGTTGCACTAATTTTTTGGACCTCCAGTGCATATAAAAGTTATGTTTGCAGTATAGTGTAGTCTCTTAAATGTGCAATACCATTATGAAAAAGTTCAAAATATTGTGAGAATTACCAAAATGTGACAGAGAAACACAAAGTGAGCAGATACCACAAACCTGCAGTTTGTAAAAGACACAGTATCTGCAAAACACAATAAAATGAGGTAGGCCATTATTTTCTCAACAATGACAAAAATAAATTAAAATGAAAGAGGAAACCCTATGAGCACAGTTCTGCTCTGACACACAGGGGTCACTGGGAGTCAGGACAACAACGGCTGGTTACAGGTTTGTCATTCTGTACACACAAAGCGAGGGTTGTATATGTGCTACAGAAATGCCACTCACATATAGTTGTTACCGCTGCACCACTGTGCTGTGAATGAGGGCACCATTTTTGGGTTTCAGGTGGAGTCGTGGCATTAGCCATCACGAGCTTCATGGCCGCAGTGAAGTTTCACGACCTGACCGAACGCATCGCCAACTTTCAGGAGAAGCTCTTTCTGTTTGTGGTGGTGGAAGAAGAGTATGAAGAGTCGTTCTGGATCTGCGTGGCCAGCGCCTCAGCTCACGCAGCAAACTTGGTCGTGGTAGCCATCAGTCAAATTCCCCTCCCTGAGATTAAGACCAAAATAGAAGAGGCGACAGTCACAGCAGAGGACATCCTGTATTGATAGCCTTCTCCTGATCACATTGTGTCCCAAATCATTTTGTAGTGTGGATAGAAACCTCATTTATCTTTGCAGCCTTGACACCCCAGAACGTCCAGGATCTCAGCAGTATCAGAGGAAAGAGGAAGTAGGAAGTAGAAGGAGGAAGGGTGGAGCCTGGGGCAGAAAGAAAAAATTTCCCAGAATCCCTGGCATCTTCACTCACCTGTCGTGGAAGGGGTTCTGCAGGCCTTGGAGGTGGAGTCCTTGGTTCAAGCCTCCTTTCTGCCACTTACCAACTGGCTGTGACATTGGACAATTCACTGAATGTTCACTCTGTAATTTCTTCATCTGAAAAATGGGGATAAAAACAACCTCACAAGATTGTTCCAGGGTTTAAATGGATGAAAGGTTGCCAGCCTATGAATGCTGTAGAACACTCTAGAAATAAAAGGGATTGCACACTGCAATAAATGTCTACTTACCCCTGGTCTGTTCCACACAGCATTAGGTGGGGATGTGAAGAACAATATCCCGGCCCTCCCCTCCAGAAATGCCCGATCTTTCCACCTGGCACAGGAATCAGATAGCAGTAATAACATTAGGAAGTGATCAATGTTATTTACTAATATTTGAGGACTTAAGGACCCCTGATGGAGAGCTGCAGTGGTTAAAGCATTTGGCTGCTAACCAAACAGTTGGTGGTTCAAACCAACCAGATACTCCATGGGAGAAAGATGAGGCACCCTGCTTCTGTAAAGATTTCAGCCTAGGATACCCTATGGGGCAGTTCTACTCTCTTCTATAGGGCTGAAATGAGTTGAAATTGACTGGACAACAACAAATTTCAGGTGGCACAATGGTTAAGCACTTGGCTGCTAACCAAAAAGTTGGTGGTTCAAACCCACTCCATGGCACCTCTGGAGAAAGAGCTGACAATCTGGTTCCATAAAGATTACAGTCTAGAAATTCCTATGGGGCAATTCTGCTTTGATACATAGCATTGTTTATAAGTCAAATAGACTCCCTGACACCCTGTAACAGCAACATTGAGGTGGTGGTTAAGTTTGTGTGTCAACTTGGCTGGGCCTGGTTGAGTGGCTGGGCAGCTGGATGTAGTATTCCCCATGATGAGACTGGGAATCAACTCCATGGTGGAATCTACTGTGAGCAGCTGAGTAGCTGCCTTAGGGATGTGGTCTGCTTCCCATGTATAAGGAGAAGCCTTTGGGAATGGTCTCTAGCTTATGGCACACTTGAACCTTGCATGTAGCCGTGTCGTTGTTCAGCAGTCTGCCATGCTCTGCCAACCTCGGGACTTTCAGTGGACTTGAACTAATGGCCTGCCATGTGGTTTGGTAACATGGGACTGTGCCTTGTTACTTGTCAACCTTGGGCTTGTCAGCCTCCACAGCCACCAGCTGTCTGAGTGAAGAAACACCTCCAGCTTCAGTGAGCCGGGAGCAGGAGGCAGAGCTGAAGTCCAAGGCTGAGAGGCTTTCACCTAGCCCCTAGAGCCTGGCACTTTGAATTCAGACTTAAAGCCTCCAAACTGTAAGAGAACAAACTCTTGTTTCTTCAGGCCACCCCATTTGTGGTATATTCCTGTCAGAGCGGCACTAGGGAACCAGCACATTGAGTAATTACTGTCTTAGCTACCTAGTGCTGCTGTAACATAAATACTACAAGTGTGTGGCTTTAAGGAACAGAAATGTATCTTCTCACAGCTCTGGAGGCTGAAAGTTCAAATCAGAGTCTCGGCTGTGTGGCTGCCTTCCTGTTGGCCATCAGGTGTACCTAGGTACCTTGGCTTGTAGATGGTCCTCACACGGTGTCAGTTACCCCAAAAAAAATTTCTTTGTCTACTTTTTTTTTTATAACTCAGAGTGATTAGATTTTGGACCCACCCTACTTGAGTCTGATCTAACATAACAAATAAAACCCTATTTACAATCAAAATTTCATCCACAGGAATAGGGGTTATGAGTCCAACACATATTTGGTGGGGAAGGCCCCACAATTTAATCCATAACAGTTACTATGTGCTGGACACTGTTCTAAGAACTGGAGCTGGATTAACTCCTTAGGGCCTTGCTATAAACAGTTTTAGGTGGTGTCTGGTCGATTTTGACTCATGGCGACCCCATGGACAGGGCAGAACTGTCCCATAGGGTTTTCTAGGCTGTAATCTTTATGGGAAAAGATCACCACATCTTTCTCCTGTGCAGCCAGTGGGTGAGTTAGAGTCACCAACCCTTCAGTGAGCAGCCCAAGACTGCTTAGGTGGTACATACCATTTCATCATCCCCATTTTAGAGATGAAGCAGCTAAGGCACAGAGAAGCTGAACACCTTGCTGAGGTCAGGAATTGCACGTAGGCGGTCTATACTTTTAACCACTTTGCTGCTCTATGTTATTGATGTCTAAGCAATTACAACACAAGGTGGTAAGTGCTGTAACAGTACATGTATAAAGGACCAGGGACAGGATTACTTCTTTGGCATGAGAGATGGTATGGAAGAAAGGGTCACAAAGTTGATACTTGATCTGTCCTTTGAAAGACGAGGAGACTTTTTCCAGTGGGAAGGAGGCAGGGCTGGGGCAGGGCATCCCGGGATGAGTGAGTACAGAGTGTCAGGACACGGCATGCAATTCCAGGGGGAGACTTCGGAAGCATGTACACACCCAGTGGGCTCAGAATGTTGCCCTAATTTACCTGTTGGATGAATCCAGACGTTGTGTGTTTATTCCTAAGAGGTATGAAGGGAGGACAGCGAGACTTCGTCTCATGTATACTTTGGACATGTTATCAGGAGGGGCCAGTCCTTGGAAAAGGACACCATGCC